TGGTCAGGCCGCAGCTGGAGTACTGCATCCAGTTCTGGGCGCCGCACTTCAAGAGGGATGTGGACAACATGGAGAGGGTCCAGAGGAGGGCCACTCGCATGATCAGGGGCAGCAGGGCAGGCCCTATGAGGACAGGCTACAGGACCTGAACCTGTTCAGCCTCCACAAGAGAAGGCTGAGGAGGGATCTAGTGCCCTGTTACAAACTAGTAACAGGGAACCAGCAGACATTGGGGGAGTCCCTGTTCCCCTGAGCACTACCAGGAGTGACTAGAAATAATGGTCAAAAGCTGGCAGAGGGTAAATTCAGATTAGACATCAGGAGGCGCTACTTCACTGTCAGGGCGACTAAGATCTGGAACCAACTTCCAAGCGAAGTGGTGCTGGCTCCTACCCTGGGGGTCTTTAAGACAAGGCTTGGCAATCACTTTGCTGGGGTTGTTTGACCCCAGTACTCTTTCCTGCCATGGCAGGGGGTCGGACTTGATGATCTGCTCAGGTCCCTTTCGACCCTACCAACTATGAAACTAATAACTAATAGTTGCTAAGATGGGAGGAACTAAATTAAAACATTTTGATAGCAAAGTGAGGTTCTCCCTATGGCTAAAACCTTGTTCAAACCTGGAAATGTGTCTAATAAGTACCTCATGTTTGTATGCAATGTGATGACATAGACTTTGCAGTACAATGTCCGAGTGTCTTCTTGTGACACCATGGGTCTGGGAAGCTCCAGTCAATATTGAAAATGATCCCCAACAATTTAAGGATTCATTCATTTGGTGCTTTATAAGATGCCTAAAATATAAGTAGGACCCACTGAAATAAGGAGATGAAGGGAAGAAGAAAAGTTATGAATAAGTCTGGATATTTTTTCTATAAGGCATATTGCTTTAAATAATAATGCATATCAAATCATATTAGCTCCACACTGAATAAATGAAGAAACAAGCAAGAAGAGATGCAAAAGGAACCAGAAATACAATTTGGACTGGAGAGTCATTAATAAAGTTTGTAATAGCTATGGGAAGAGTATAAATATGCAGCTTTCATTCTTTATGGAAGGAGGCCTGAAAGGAATTCCACTTCCTGCCCCAAAGTGTTGCACAATAGGGTGGATTCAGTGTTGTGGTTTTTCACCTTATGCTGGAGCCTCAGGTATTGGACACTGTTGGCACAGGAAACTAAGACTGATGGACCAATGGTCTGATCTGGTGTGGCAAATCCCATGCTCCAACCGCCCACACAATGTGGTCAGTCATACACATGCCTTTGTGTTGTATAATAATCACATTAATAGACATTTACCAAAAATGGATATTTTCCCTTAATTAGTTCACATTCTTTGTTTTTCTATGATTAATCCAAAAGCATGGTTTCTACCCCGACTCTGGGCCAGGCACTCACTTGGTAGCATGTGGCCTTCTTTTTGGGTGCCTTACAGCATGTAAAATGAAGTAAGAACATTAGGGCTATGTAATAGGAAGAACACACTCAAATAACACAGACTTCCCCTCTTTTTCTCTTTATTCCTGTGCAATACGTGCATGTGTAAGCAAAGAAGATTCCTGGTGAAAATGAATATTCCTCTGTGAGAGTCAGAACTGAATCAGGGTTGACGCTGATTTCAATTGCAGACGTTGGCGCAGAGTGAAATTATTTTTCAAACGCTGAAGCTCCCCTGGTAAAGTAGTTAGGGTTGTATTTTCATGCTAGAAGGAAAAAGTGATGAAAAGTTTTTAAAACTGAAGAAACAAAATCCTTGATTCTTATCCAAGGTTCTGCAAAACAAGATCCCATATGGTAATGGCTAATCTTAGGAAGACAGAGTAGGTTAAAATGGGTACATCTTTCTGTTTAGATTTTTCTCCTTTATATTCTTGTATTTCAGATATTTTTGAGTCAGCTTCCACAAGAATATTTGCTGAGGCATCGCTTTCATGGAACTGTTGGATGTGTTACTACAGTTCACAAGAATCACATACTTTATTAAGTAAATCTTTGTGGGGGAGGACATTGAAGACCTTTATCCAGTTTTAAAATGAACTACTGAAGTCACCCACATTACAGTTTGTATGCCTATATGTTGCCTTTCCCTTAACATGCTAAACTGTGAGGATAAGGACCGCCTTTATTTAGATGTTTACCCAGCATCAGGCAAAATGAAACCATGAATTCCTATTAAGCCCATTGTGCCCTCTTGAAAAAACAAGAAATAAATTATACACATACATATAAATATCATGGGATTTTGTGTTATTATTATTTATTACCTGTATTACAGTTGTGGTTATATGCTCGAATTGACGAAAGGATTTTGTTGTGCTAGATGTTGTGCAAACAAGTCATAAGACCTCTGCCTCAAAAAGTTTACAGTCAAATTAAACTAGATCCACACAGTCCCAACTCAAATGCCTGAACCACAAAATATTCCCTCCTCTGATTTTATAAGGAAAACAAGTTGTTCGGAAATTAATTTAGACCATACTTATGGCTACATATGTAAGTTTATACCATACAAATAGTTCCACTCATAGAAACTCATTTTATTAAGAGTTTGCAAGAATTAGACCTAAAAATGTAGCTAATTTTTCAAAATTCGGAGCTTGAAATAACTATAACATATAAAACGCATTATAATAAAGTGACAGAAGATACTTTTTAAAAATCTAAGTAACCCAGGGCAAAATTCCACCCTCAACTAGTTCAGTCTTATTTCTCTTAGGATGACTGGGATCTTTTTGCAAAATACCCTGGATAAAATATAAAATATAATAATGAAGAGTGTCAGGTTTCTGACCTCTTTATTCTGTTTGGTTCTACCAACCAATTGAATAGTCCTAATTTTGCAAGGTTTTAATTTTTTTTTGCAAAAACTAAAATAGTAAAAGGAAATCAAATCTATCACCTGCTTCAGTGTGTGTATTGATGATGTGCACAGTTCTGGAAGGAATGCCCACCCCATTGCACTACAGCACTGCAAGCAATGAGGATCATGGATTTTAATTCTTATGCTGTGAGAGCATTATGTAATGGTCACTACTAGTACAGTACCAGAAAACCAGAAAAATTAGCTGAATGGCCTAATCTGGTAGGAAATATGATTTGTTGCTTACTTGGAGTGCTTTGTTTGGATGTTTATTGAAACAATGCCATGGTCTTCAACAGGAGCCAATGACCAGTGGGCTTTTGTGACCAGTACTTGTAGTTTGTCATATAATCAGCCAGAATCTTTGGATCTGTTGTTTATGTGGTCAGGAGATGAGGTAACCAAACTATGTCTCCCATGAGGCACCATGGCAGCATTTCCAAACTGAAGTATTTCAGCTTTTGGGTGTCTGGATTTTCAGTGAACCCAAGCCAACTGCTTAAACAGATATCACAGCTCATCCCAAAGAGAATGAAACTTGGTATCTAAGAAGGAAGAAGAGAGGTATAGTGCTGCTACAAGGTGGAGTAGGAAGCTCATACAAATAAGCTCCTTAGCCCTGTACACTGCTTGCTTCCTTCCTTATGTCACTGGCATTACTGAATTGTTGGCAATGTACTAATCTACTCCAAGTATATGCAGTGGGACAGCAAGGATCTGAGTTGAGGGGTTCTATGTTTAAAAATAAAAAACTTGGGAAGAGGGTTGGGGAGAGGGTGGCTCAAAGCAATTTATTCCTGATGACACTGGAAGAGGCCTACAGTTCATTTCCATAGAAACAAAAGGTGCCCAAAGCCTCTTCATAAGATCAGTGCCTTCATATATATCTCTTAAGAGGGTTTCTTAAAAGTCTTACTTTTCTTAATAGACAATTTCATGTTACCTTTAACTATTTACTTCACTAGCTTTATAAAAGCTTCTTAAACTCACTTCTTAAATGAGCAACCATCAGCATGATAATCATTGAAAAACCTGTTTCCTTTGCCAGCTTCAAAGCTATCAGTATAATCATCAAAAGTATGCATAGAATAAAGGTACAAAATTTAGGTTGGAAAATAGACAGCGCTACCAATCCAAGATAATTTTTCTCCCTGACAGTCTTCAAACTTTTTACTGACAATCAAATATTTTTACTGGCTTATGTTTCACACAATGTAAATGTAACCCTTCTGCCAGTCCATGGACAAGGGTGGGGTTCAAATTTAGGGGTTTATCACCATAAAAATGTTTGGCTGTCAGTAAAAAAATTGTAGATTATCAGTTAAGACAAAACATTGGGTTGGACACCCTGCTTTACTGCAACAATGACTTCACATCCTGCTGCCCCCATCCCAGTGCCACTACTCACTAACACATCCTGATACCCCCAATTGTACCCTGTGTCATGCTGCATCCCCAGTCAGCCCTGCTCCACCCATCCCAGCACAGACACCAAAGAAGGATACTGTCTGCCT